CTTCCTTCCTTCCTTCCTTCCTTCCTTCCTTCCTTCCATGGGGCGCAGTGGTTAGAATGTAGAACTGCAGGCAAACTCTGCCCATAGCCAGGAGATCAATCCTGACTGGCTCAAGGTTGACTCAGCATTTTATCCTCCTGAGGTCCGTAAAACGAGGACCCAGATTGTTGGGGGCAAGATGCTCACTCTGTAAACCTCTTACAGGGGGATGTAAAGCATTGTGAAGCAGTATATAAGTCTAAGTGCTATTAGTAACCAACCAACTAACCAACCAACCAACCAACCAACCAGTTTAACTAACCAACCAACCAACCAACCAACCAACCAACCAACTCACTAACTAACTGTGTGCAGAGCAGCTTTTCCCAGACTGAGTGCCTTCAAATCCAGATTTCCCCCACCAGCCCAAGAATGCTGGGTGCTCTATCACCATTCTGGATAGAGTCCTGGCTGGAGGGGACTTGGCCAGAGGTGTAGGGATTGGGGTGCTGCATGCATCAGTTCGGGACTGAGTTGACATGGCCCCTCCTTGCACCCCAGGCTCTTCAAGCCCAGAAGCGGACGAAGGTGATGGCGAAATGCATCTCGCTGAGCAACTACAGCATCAGTAGCACCAATGTGCTCATCATTGGGGCAGGTACTGGCTGGTGTAGAGAGGAGGTGCTCAAGGGCGGAGGCCTCAGGGTGGGGGTCAGAGCCCTGCTTGGATGGGTGTCCTCCTGGAGACGCCACTGCATGGTTCAAGGAGCCCATCCCTTCGGATGCCCAAATGAATCTGGTCTTGCCCATATTTTAAAAGAATTGTGGGAAAACTCACAAGGACACCCCCATTGTGGAAGCCTTGATTCAGTCATTCAGATTGGCTTTCTCGTTTATTCTGAACAATCCATTCAGTCTGGGGAATCTATACAATTGTTTTTGGATCAAACCTCCAAATCAAATAGTTGTCCAGCCCAATTGGTGCCTCTGTGCTGGAGTGGCGCCGTTCCTACTTCCTGGGACCCTCAGATCAATTTGGCAGTTTGAACCTCACCAGGCTCAAGGTTGCCTCAGCCTTCTCTCCTTCCAAGGTGGGTAAAATGAGGACCCAGATTGTTGGGGGCAAGAGGCTGACTCTGTAAATGCTTGGAGAGGGCTGGAAAGCACTGTGAAGCGGTATATAAGTTATTGCTACTCTGGGAGGAAGGTGGAGAAGACCTAATGGGGAATTCTCAGCTGCCAAACGACGGGCGCTTCCACCAACAGTCACTTCCTTTGACAGGTCCTGCTGGGCTGGTATGTGCAGAGACTCTCCGCCAAGAGGGCTTCTCGGACAGGATTGTGATGTGTACAATCGATCGACATTTGCCCTACGACAGGCCCAAACTGAGCAAGGTTGGTGCTTACCCAGGAATTTCTCCAAGGCTTCCTTGAGGACACTGGGTGGCTGCTCCACTTTTCCATCTTATCTCTGAGCGTTGAGCCTCTGTGATGCTGTCTTTGAAATGAAACAGAATTCCTTTTCATGCAGTCCATGGGTGTCCATGTAACTTGTCACTCATCTGTCAACTTGTAAAGCATTGCCATGACTATTATCAGGTTGGCATTGGAGGGAGGATTCCATGCATACCTTCGGCCAGAGTGGGATCTCATATTTCTACAACCTAGTTGGTGGATATGATTTATGACACAGACAGAAGGGAGGGGATAGAGAGGTCAAACACAATTAAGCGGAAATCAGTTTCGGCTCCGCAGAAGAATATGCCAGAATGTTAATCCTAATAAATGAATGGATTTCTTTTGAACTTTGTCTTGAGGCTTGTAAATTAATTGGGTCATCTTCTGGGAACTTCACAGAGAGCCAAAACTGATTTCCACTTAATTGCGTTTGAACTTTACCCCTCTATCCCCTCCCTTCTGTCTGTGTCATAAATCAGATCTACCAACTAGGTTGTAGAACTATGAGATCCGACTCTGGCCGAAGGTATGCATGGAATCCTCCCTCCAGTGCCCACCTGATAATAGTCATGGCATCTAAGGGCAGAGTTAATATTGAATCTTTGCTCTTTTTCCTAAAAATGACTCAAATTAATATAGAAGCTACCACCGGGGTGGGATCCTACCGGTGTAACGACCTGTTCACTTCACACGCATGCAGTTACCCATCGCTCCAACAGAGCGTTTAAGAGCTGTGGACTTCAACTCCCAGAATTCCCCAGCCAAGCTGGCTGGGGAATTCTGGGAGTTGAAGACCACAGCTCTTAAACTTGCTGAGATTGAGAAGCACTGCCATAGACCATTACACCTTCTTAGGGAGACCCTTCAGGTGTAGGTGAGATTACAACTCTCAGAACCCTTCCAACACCTCTGGAAGGCGCTTAAGTAGTATCTAAGCATAAAACTGACCTCTGCTTTCAGTCAATGGATTCCCACGCTGACCAGATCGCTCTGCGTCCAAAAGAATTCTTCCGCACGAACGACATTGAGGTCCTGACTGAAATGCAGGTGAGGGTCTGTCTCTGTGGAGAGGGGGGGAGCTTCAAAGAGGGCCTGGATCTCTTTGTGGGACGTGTGAAGGGAGAGTCTGTGTGGACATAAAAAAGGACTTTGTTATTAATCCAGAGATGGTTTGGTTTAACTCACACTTTCGAGAGCTGCTCTATTGAACCAGGACCTGTGGAGGGAGGTCATGTCACCTGGCCTGGTTTCATCTCTGAAAACAGTGCAGGATGGGTGCGTTTGGCTCCTTGAAGCCTCTTCCCAGCATGGACTCTTGTTCTGACCCAGCTCCCCAAACAACACAAACCCTTTGAAGTGAACTGAAAAATTCCTTTACTAGGAGCCCCGGCAAAACGTTTCTCTCTCACTGCAGGCTAACAAGTCTGTCTGGCAGGGAGATGAATAGTTGTCTGCTACATCTATTCATCTCCACCCCCTGCCTTTGATCCCCAGAGCTAGGATGGGGCTTCACTAGCAGTGGTGGCTCTTCTGTCCCAAGGACCAGCCCATAGATTTCCACTGCTCTCCTCTCCTCTGCCTTCTGCGCATCCATGCATCAGGCACTGGACCCAGCTGTTCCTCCTCTTCCTCATCGCCCCCCTCCAGACCTGGGGGCTGTTGACTCTCCATCTGAGAGCTGATGGATGGCCCAGGCTCTGCCTCTGCCCCCCCCCCCTCTGCCAGCTCCATTCCCACTTCCCCCTCGGGCCTCCCATGCCGCTGCCGCCTCCTCCTCCTCCTCCTCTAAATTAGCTGCTGGAGGGGCTGGCAGCCGACAGGCCACAACAACTCTGTAGGTGTGTGTTGGTCTGATGGGGAAAAAAAAAACAGCTAAGAAATTACTGTTAATGGCTCGTCCTTCCTGTTTCAGGTGGTGGCGGTGGATGTCAAGAACAAGACGGCCATTTTCAAGGATGGGTTTAAGATGGAGTACAACAAGCTGCTGCTGGCAACAGGGAACACGTAGGTGGCCCTAAAAGATTTTGCACCAAGTGTTGAGGTCTTGTTTTTCAGGTGGAGGAGGTTTTAATGCACCCCAAATGTGTTGGAGAGAGACTGGCTGAACCAGGGGGAGGAGTCAAGTGGGGAATTAGTCTGGAAACTTTAATTAATCACAAGAAGGCAAGGCCTGATCCCCATTGAATGCCACTGAACCTTCTCTAGTCTGTCCTGGGTGCAAAGTCTGAGAAGATTCCTCTGTAATAGATGTGAGTAATGAAGGAGCTAAGTGGACTGTTCACGGGTGGATCTGGTTGTTTGGGTCTGACAGACCGTTTCAGAATGTTGTGGTATCTTCAAGATGAATCAGTGGGTTTCAGCCTAAGATTCCATGGCTTAGAAATTGAAATTAGTTTTGTGGAATCTGATGAAATTTCATGGAACTATGGAGAAACTTTGGCACAGTTAACCAGTGGAACAGCTTGCCTTCCTAAACCATTTTAGACCATGTAGGACAGTGATGGAGGACCTTTTCGGCGCTGAGTGCCCAAACCGGAACACACATGCATGTGCGTGCACTAGAGTGCTGGAAACCCTAAGACCAGCTGGCCAGCACATGCATGCTTGTTTTTTGGCTGTTTTGGGGCCATTTTTAAGCTGTTTTCCAGTGCTCTGGTGCCTGCAAAGACTAGCTGGCTGGCATGCCAGAAAGCAGAAGAGCAGATGGCGTGCCCACCCACAGAGAGGGCTCTGCATGCCACCTCTGGCACATGTGCCATAGGTTCGCCATCACGGGTGTAGGATGAGAGCGGTGTATGCTGGCCATAAAACAAGAGGAGACTGAACAATTTTATTTAGTCATTTAAATTTTTTTTATCCCACTTTTATTATTTTTATAAATAACTCAAGGCGGCAAACATACCTAATAATAAAAGGGATGAAAAGGATGAAGAGCAGGAGCTGCAGTTCCCTTTCTCAGATGTGACGCCTTTTACTCTAACTGGGTAGCCAGAATTCTAGTCTTTTCCTGATCAAACTTGGCTTGGGGCGTTTGGGAAGGTGGGCCAGGAATAAGGAGAATTCCTCCCTGGTTTTCCCACCTGCCCTTCTTCAACCGTTAGAACAGTGTTTCTCAACCTTGACAACTTGAAGAAGTCCGGACATCTTCAAGTTGCCAAGGTTGAGAAACACTGCGTTAGAGGCTCCCTCGGCCTGACCTCTCCAATCTCTCCTTCCAGACCCAAAACGCTCAGCTGCAAAGGCAAGGAAGTGGAGAACGTCTTCACCATCTGTGCTGTGGAAGATGCCAACCGGGTGGTCAAAGTGGCCACTGGCAAAAACGCCGTGGTGGTGGGAGCCTCTTTCCTGGGTGAGCAAAGGCTGCCTAGGCGCCCTGGGAAGCTCACCTGATTCACAACGTGGTTTGTTTCATCTGAGTCTAGCATGCAGTAGCGTGGTTTACTACTGTGTCTCCCTGGAAAATAAGACCTGCCCCCAAAATAAGCTCTAGCCTGATTTTTAGGGTGGGTCTAATATAAGCCCTACCCCAAAAATAAGCCTGGGGGCAGCACAAGAAGCGAGCGCATGGGGGGATGACAGTGTCTGGCAGCAGCAGCAGCCCGCTGGTCCTTTTACACAGCGCAGTTAAGTCCGAGTGCGGAGGCAGAGGCATGGGGGAAGGGGAGAGGCAGCTGATCCCGCCACTCCGAGCAGGTGCCTGCCTAGTGCAGCCACAGGCAAGCTGAAAGATGGTGGGACAGAGTGGATGGTGCGTTGGGATCGCCTCCCCTGTGCCTCTGCCTCTGCCTGGCTCCACCAGGCACTTTTCACCCAGAGGGAAACAAAGCTCCATCTGCTTGCAAATGGGATACTTTGAAATAGAGATCCTGAATGCCGTCCCTCTGCTAAACAAATAATTCCCTCCCCACTGTCAAACCATTCACTAAGGCTGCATTCCTATTACTATTAGTCTTCTCATCGTTCCTATCCCCCATCTCCTCCCACTTTTGACTGCAGGACTGTAACTTTGTGGCTTGTATCCTTACGATTTACATGGATATTGATAGTTTCCTGATTGCTTATTTGTACCCTATGACCATCATTAAGTGCTGTACCTTATGATTTGTGACAATTGTATCTTGTCTTTTTATGTACACTGAGAGCATCTGCACCACAGGCAAATTCCTTGGTGTCCAATCACCCTTGGGCAATGAAGAATTCTATTCTAATTCTAATTCTACCGTGTTTCCCCAAAAATAAGACAGGGTTTTATTTTCCCCCCCCCCCCCAAAATAAGCACTTGGCCTTATTTCTGGGGAGGTCTTATTATTTTTGAGGTGCAGGAGGCGGTGAGGGTAGTCACCTCATGGCTGCTGCTGTGTTGAAAATTTTCAGGGACAACTTATTTTGGGGGGAAGGCTTATTTTAGCGCATGCACTCAAAAACCCAATTAGGCTTATTATCTGGGGATATCTTATTTTCAAGGAAACAGGGTCTTCTATTTACTCTATCTACTCTATAACTCTACTCTACTCTACTCTAC